TCCTGACTTTTTGTTAAGAGTTTCGATATTTGTATTTCATGAGGAATGTTGGCCTGTAGTTTTCTTGCAATGTCTTTGACTGGCTTGGTGTCAGAAAAATACCTGGTGTTCCCCATCTTAAAATGAGTTGGGAAGTGTTCTCTTTTCTTCTCTTTTTTACAAGAGATTGTTAGGATTGGTATTTACTTTTTCCTTAATGTTATATATAATTCACCAATGAAACCATCTGGGGCTAGATTTTCTTTGTGGAAAGATTTTAAATTACTAAGTCAGTTTCTTTACTTGATACATATTTATTCAGTTTTTCTATTTCTTTTTTTTTTTTTTTTTAATTTTTTTTTCAACGTGTATTTATTTTTGGGACAGAGAGAGACAGAGCATGAACGGGGGAGGGGCAGAGAGAGAGGGAGACACAGAATCGGAAACAGGCTCCAGGCTCTGAGCCATCAGCCCAGAGCCTGACGCGGGGCTAGAACTCCCGGACCGCGAGATCGTGACCTGGCTGAAGTCGGGCGCTTAACCGACTGCGCCACCCAGGCGCCCCTTTCTATTTCTTTTTTAGTCAGTTTTGTAATTTGCATCTTTCTAAGAATTTGTCCATTTCATCTTTATCGTCAAATGTATTGACATGAAGTTGTTCCTAATATTCCCTTACAATTGAGCTACATTTTAAAGAGTAAATTAGCATGTGTCTCAAGTCATAAAGTGTTTTCTTCAGCACCAGCTGTATTTGTTGAAAAGATATTTACTAAGCACTTCCTATGCACCAAACAAAAAATGAGGAAACTTAAATTTATTGAACACTTCACTAAATGTATCATACATTGTCCCTGGCACTGTGTGGAGCTCATCTCATAGGAGTGTACTCCCGAAATTCTAGGTCTACCTGCAGAAGGAGACGGCACTCTCTCCCGCCTTTCACAACACACTCCCAGTGTTTCCATTTCCTGTCTAAGGAACCATCTTTCTGCAATTAATGGACACAGATCTTTGGGGACCCAACTAACCAGAGGAATTCAGCCTTCCCTTTTCAACCTCAACTGGATAGCTCTGTGGTCTCGTCACACAACCACCCCAGAATTCCTATGACTAAAAAACTCAGATAATAATGGGGAATTGGGGGGCGGGGCAGAGTGAGGAGGGAGTCATTGTGATTTTCCTATAAGCTCTCTTCTAGCTCTCCTTTTTTTCTGCCTGGGTGTATTTGAATGTGTACTTATTTTAACTACCACACTCCCTCCCTCTCATCCTCCACCTGCCGACTGTAGTTTTCTTATTTTGCACTCTTTTTCTTCCATGCAGTTCCTAGCATAGCGCCTAGTAAGTATGGCAATGTAAATTAATTCGTGTAGAAACGCATTGACTCCTAATTGAGCAGTTTTTATTTTTAGCTATCTGTCCTCGTAATTCTATACATGTTATACACATGGGTTTTCTTTGTGTGAGACGCTATCTCCCAGGTGCACAGGGACTTTGAGCTGCGTGCAGCCTATGACAGGACTCAGCGGTTGCCTGCGGAATCTCCATTTGCCTAATGAGGGACCCCAAGCCCTGACACTCATCATTGCCAACAGCCTCATGTCGGATCTTTCCATGTAAGGGAAAGGATGGATTCTTTTCCACTCATTCTCTATTCGCATTAGACTAGCTTTAAACTTTTCTTGACATCGAGACGTCTATTTGCATTTAAGTGAATGCTTTCCTCATTTTAAGAAACCATTCTATGTGGGGTCCATGTGTTTACTGGATATTAATGGATAAGAGGTGAGGTCCTAAATGATTAGAACATTGGCATTCTAAGATTCCCTTTTCTCCCTTTCACACAAAAGAAGCTGAAAGATACATGCAAGCGGATACACAGGCAAGGATCACAAAGCTCGTCTCTTGACCGGGTCATTTCTGCCAGGGAGAAACTATCTTCCATTTTCCTCTGAAAAGAGAGACAAGCTACTCCAGGCCCCCTGCAACCCTCTAGACTCAGGTGTTCTTTTCTTTGTAATCTGTAGATCCTACTTCCTTGACCCAGCTCCTGACAATAGCTTGGCAACCGACAGCATTCACTGTCTCCATGAGATTGCATGAAAGAGCCTGCTTCCTTTCTTCGAGAACCCTTTAATATAACAAATGTAGGCACGGTTTTTGAACAGAGACTTCATACGTTTCCATGACAACGTAAATTACCTGTGAGAATCTGTAGGAAGGTTTTAGTCCATCAAGGCTTAAAAGCACGGTTTTCTTTCTTCATAAAGCAGTCGAGGAATGTTGTTGAAAATTTTGTTGTCAGGAGGATGGGGAGAGAATTTTATTTCCCAAGAACCCAGATACATAATAAATCTGGGCCTTGTGGGCGCAGACGTGGAATTTATATTTGAGTGTAGCTGGCAGTAATCCATTATTCTAAATCCCTGCTTTTCTCAAGAAGTGCTTTGTACCAATTAACACATGTAGATATTCTCCTCAGCAGTCGAATTATTCCTTGTACAATTCTATTTCATCGTTTCTTATAAATGCTGGGCTTTTTCAAATCAGAAATGAAAGAGCAGCCCCTCTTCTCTTCTCTGGCAACACTTTCTCTCCAAGGCCAAACCCTGTCTCCATTCTCCTGACGCCCGCCCTCCTCCCTCTCCTGGGGCCTGGTTTCATCAATCACCCAGCTCCCCGCCCATCTTCAGTCTCCCCCCTATAATTGCCCTTTCAGTATCTCCCCTTGAATCACGGCAAGAAAATGGGCATACATGGGACAAGTCCTTAAGAAGCAAACATCTGTGTACGACAGACAGTCGCTATTGGAGATTTAATTAATCAGGCATTCACTGAATGTGACTTTGTTCGAGTCTAATGCGAAATGCATTCAGAAACAAACCTGGCATCGGAAGCTGCTGCCCAAACTGTGCCCTCTCCTAGGACTGGAATGTTGACCGCAGTGGCCAGGAATACAACAATAGGGACAGACATTTGACTGTGTGATTATTTGTGTCTCCCCACCTGACCACCAGTTCAGTAGAGGCACTTGCTGCCTCTGCCTGTTCACGTTATGTTGCTAGCTCTGGGCCCGGAATGTAGAAGATACCCAATGATTTTTCTCGAACAAACAACTCTGTAATGAAAACCAAATACGTGGACTGTACGGTTATCCACCATGGGCTTTGCAGTTCTGATACACACGGACAGGGCCCCTCCAGTGAATACATTCACACTGAACCTCACATCGACCCTGTGAGGTAGGTCTTGTATCAGTCCTTTCCAAAGGAGCTCACTGTGGTTCAGAGCAGGTGAGGGCCTGGCCCAAGGATTAGAGCCAGGATCGAGCCTGGGTTTATCTCATTCCAGAGCCTGTGCCATCGCCAGTGAACCATTTTCTCTGTTCTGACCCGGGCTCTATGCTGCTTATCACCTTGTTAACCTCTCTGCCTGCACCTCCCTGAGACCTGAATGTGCTGTGCGCTCTGAGACATCACTTTCTCCTGAGGGCCTGTGTTTTCCCTTCTGGCCCCAAGGCAGGTGCAGCATTATCAGCTCCCTTGCAGCTGAGGCTTTGCTACCTTCTAGTGAAGGCTGCAGTATGGTCCCTCTCAGTTTCTTACAACCAGATCATGACCTTTTGTTCACTTGGTGCCACAGTTCTGCTGGGAACTTGAACTTCCTGTGCTCCGCTCACACCGGTACCTTCTGCCTTGCCGAAATGAAGCGTGGGTATTTTAAACCCCAGTTAATGAGAGGCAGAATTTCTAACAGGCGTCTGCATTAGGATCTATTGCTATGTAACAAATTACTCCAAAACTTAACACCTCAGGCCAACAAGTGTTTATTATCTCCCACAGCTTCTGAGGGTCAGAAATCCAGGAATGGCTTAGCCGGTGGTCTCTTCCTATGTCATCTGATGTCATCCTTGCCTGAGGCTGAGGGATCCACTTCTAAGGTGGTTCACTTGCAAGGCTTTTAGCAGGAGGCCTCAGTTCCCAGCCACGCAGGCCTCTCCATAAGGGTTGATTGAGTATCCCCAGGTCAGGGCAGCTTTCTGTCCTCAGTGTGAAGGTTCCACAAGCAAACAAGCCAGGGGCTGCAATGCCCGCAACGGTCTCAGAAGCTACATACCGACACTTCCACCATATTCTGTGTTGAAAGTGAGTCACTAAGTCCAATCACGTTCAAGGGAAGGGGAATTAGGGACCCCTAAAGGAGGAGTGTCCAAGAATTTGTGGACATACGGTGAGAAGTGCTATGGATGCCAGATGCCATGAGATGCTTGTGTAGCAACTTTGTGCCCTGTCTGTGGCCGGGGCAGCCTGGGGGCTTCCTGTTTAGCCGTTCACACGGGTGAGTGAGGTGAAGGCTGGATTTCGAATCCCTGGCCCAGGCACCGTGAGCATTACACAGGTGCAAAACGACTGTCCTGATCCTTAATACCTGTACATTCTGGGTAGGAAGAAAGCCATCTACACAGGTAACCTCCTCTGAGAGCACGGTGAGTGCTACAGAGGGACGAAGGTTGGAGAAGAACAAGCTCGAAGCAATGGTGGGGCAGGTGAAGACCCCTAGAGGGGAGGGCACCCGAGCCTGGCATGGATGATCGTGTGGTATTTCAGTAGCTGGAGGCATGGAGGGAAGAGCAGACTGGGGACGGGAACAGCATGGGCAAAACTTCAGTGGTGGGAAGGTGCAGTGTGTGTTTGGGAAGGGCAGCATGGTGTTCTCATTGGCAAAATCAGTGATAGTGCCTGCGACACGGGGCTGATGCTGCTACATCCGGTGATTTGTTTAAAGAGCTTTGCACAGGGGTGCCTGGGTGGTGCAGTCGGTTAAGCATCCGACTTCAGCCAGGTCACGATCTCGCGGTCCATGAGTTCGAGCCCCGCGTCGGGCTCTGGGCTGATGGCTCAGAGCCTGGAGCCTGTTTCCAGTTCTGTGTCTCCCTCTCTCTCTGCCCCTCCCCCGTTCATGCTCTGTCTCTCTCTGTCCCAAAAATAAATAAATGTTGAAAAAAAAATTAAAAAAAAAAAAAAGAGCTTTGCACAGCGCCTGGTGCCAAGAAAGTTCTCGCTGAAATGATGACGTGAATGACTGACACAGAGGAAGACCTTAGGCTGGAAAAGTAACGTGGGGCCAAGTCACAGGGCCGTGCGTGTCGTCCTGAGGAATCACAGCACGAGGAGGCTAGAAGGGGCCTTAGTTTGGACTATTTTTGGTCCCGTAGCAACTGGGATCTGTTGCGTGTTAGTGGGGGAGTAGCATGCTCATGGCTGAGCTAGAGGAAGACCTCTCCCATGGCATGTGCCGGATGATTCAGAGTGGGGTGAGGGACCGAGACTCTGGTGCTGTGATCCTGATGCTGTGGTCCAGGGAGAGGAGGCACTGAGGGCTGAAGTGAGATGGTTCGTGGGGACTGGCTAGGAGGAGGTGAAGGTAGGGTATTTGTTGACTCCTTTAAAAACTTTGCCTGGTCAGCAAGCTGCTTTAGCAGTTGCTCTGAACACAGGTATGCACCTGTTTAAAGGTCCTGTGGGAACAGCCTAGGAACATCCTGTCCACCAAGTCTCCATGAGATGGCTCACCTTGCGCCTGCCTTTGCCATTCCTTGGTAGAGGGTTGGGGGCTGGCCCTGGTTTCTCTCCACAAATTTTCCCAGCACACAGGGGCCATCAGAGGAGTCCTTTAAACCCAAACTTGAACATACTGATTGGGCCTCCTTGTCTGTGTAGCTTACCCACTCACAGAGGGATGGACAGCATGGTCGCAAACCCTTCTCTGCCCCTGCAGGGATTGCGCAGGGGAGAAATCATGCATCAAGCTTCAAATGATCTGCTGGGGAGGGGACAGTGGGCCCTTGGCAATGCAGTTGGAAATCCTGTCCCCATGACTTCCCCACATCATGATCCAGGAGGAGCCATAGCATGAGGAACATCTCTGGGATGCCAGGGACAGTAGCCTGCAGATGTGGGACCCTCCCAGTATGCTCAGAGCCTCAGGCTGGGGCATCCAGACTGGCTGAAGGGCATTGCTGTCTTGTGATCACTGCCTGAAGCTGAAGCTGCCATGAACTTGAAGGTGGATTATACACCCACCCCAAGTGTGGGATGGTGGAAGGGGTGGGGGCTTCGAGTCAGACAGACTCACAGTTCAATAACTGCTTACTGGTTTGGCAAGTGTCTACACCTGTCTGTGCTCAGATTCCTCATATATAACATGGGGCTAATAACGGTGACCTCACAGAGATATTAAAAGGGTAAAAGGAGGTTGGGTCCACAGAGGGTTCAAACTAAAAGAAGTAGGTGTCAGGCAAGTGTTGGCAAACTTTTCCTCCCCTTTCCTGCCCCCTGATTCTGAGGGGCTCCTTCCTTCCCCCAGCCCTTTACCACTATGGCAGCTTCACTCACCAGGGGCTCTGAGCTGCCTCCTGTCAATCTAGGGAGGATGGATTTTATGAAAGCTGAGGAGGCACCAAATGCTTGCTTTCGTAAGGGCAACTCTTCCCTACAAGGACTTAAGGATGTGGGGTGCGTGGGTTTTAGCAATAATAGAAGCCCCAAGTGTGAGCAGCTTTGTGAGTACCTGAAGTAGAATGGAACGCTTGGTTTCCTTTAATTCTCCAAATACATCCTGAGGGTATCGCTCTGTGCTGTGTGGGGCACCAGGGAAACACAGATAAACGCAGCCCTGTCCCTGATGAAGAGGGACTCCGCCCGGGTCAGGTGCTTGCGAGCACATACTCATTTCAGCATGATGGGCACTGGAACACGAGTACAGGCAGGACATTTTCCCGCCTCCCAGGAGCAAGTGTCTGCCCCGTCTGGACAGGGAGGGAAGGGTTCAGGAGAGGGGCCGTAAGCTGACCAGAAGTGAAATCAAATAATAGCCACTTCCATTAAATATTCACCCGATGCCAAGCCCTTAAATCCTGTGAAGGATGGGAGACCGATATGGAGCAGGGCTCTGAGTGGGAGCCCGAGTGAGAGAAGGGCCCTGGCGGGGCAGGGGGAGACAGATGCGGTCCTCCCTAGACAGATGGGGTCTGCCCCTAACCTGCAGTTGGACATAGGATAAGTTGAAGGACATCCCTTTGCAGCCATGCAAATGAGGTTGGACTCAAAAGTAGGGTTCCATCAAGAATTTTCTGTTACATATCTTATTCCTCAAAAGAGGTAAAATAAACTCATGAAATCATTAAAATAACATGAAACTGCATAGGTAACCACAAAGTTGGACAATGTAGTAAAGTGTCCAGGAGCTGAGAGAGAGGCAACTTTGGGCTGAGAAATCCAGGAGGGGCTCCTGGAAGAGGAGAGCCCAGAGCAGGGCCTTGACGAATAATTAATACAGGGGCAGTCTGAGAGGAGGGCATCAGCAATTTGGAGCGATAGGCTGCCTCACTCAGAAACGTTCGGCGGCTCCCCAGGCCTAGCTCAAGCATCTAAACGTGGCATTCCAGGCTCTGTAAGCCTGGCCGCAACTCCTACCGGCCCGGTCACCTTGACATCCTTCCGAGAACCTCACTCTTCACACCGAGCAGCTCACCTGCTCTCTGAACCTGCCACACAGACTCAGACTGCTGCCTGAATTCCTTTTATCCGCTTCTCTGTCTACACCCTTCAGTGCCCCCTTCAGAATTAAGCATCCTTTTCCCTCTTTCCCTCTGTCCCATTTGCTTTGGGTCACACATGGACAGATCCTGACCTAGTAAACCGTGGCTGTCTCACCCAGGGCTTACTCCTCCCTGTGGGCCACAGGCCACACCCATGCTGAATGATTGAATGAATGAATGGACGGATGATCAAGCTGAGATCTGGCTGCACAGACGGGGAGTCCGTGGTTACAGGGGCCCGTAAACTTGTGGCAAGAGGCTCTGGACAGGACTGACCTGAGAATGTGGCCCATTGTGCTCTGGGAGGGGCAGCTCAGGGCTGGAGGAGCTCGGGTGTGTCACATAAACTCTCCACGGCACTGCAGACATCAGGCCTGAGCCCGCACGAGCACCTCCAGTGAGAACAGGCCAAACACTGTGCAGCTCTAGCCCGTTGCCGGAGTGCCGTCGGAAGGATGTGGCCTGTGGAAGCTGACTGACGTGGGCTCGCACTTCACCTCCGCTCATCTGCCAGCCGTTTGCTCTTATGCGAGCCGCATAACCTCTCTGAGCCTTGGTTACCTTCTTTTGGTAGTATTAGAGATCTAAAACCACCTTCTCTCAAAGTTGTTGTAAGGGTTATAGAGAAAAATACCAAAGCCAGACCAAAAGCACCCTCCAGCTTATGAAAGGTGACTAATGAACGGTAGCTAATTCTGTTTTCATGACATATGATTACTTATTCCACGTGGCTGGGGAAAGTTTTGTGGAGAGTTCAACGAAAGTTCTGAGTAACAGAATTTGGGCTTCAACCTAACAGTCGATCGTAATCACAGTAAACTTATCAAAGGACTTACCAACATGGCCTCATGGGAAGATTAGTTATTTAAGGTCAGGGTTATTAGTTATTTAAGGTCAGGATACGTCCCACGAGGACGTATCCCATGGATAATGCTTACAGTGAGACACTTGCCAGCCCACAGGGGCCACTGCAGAGATACAGAAAGCTGCAGAGGCTGGCGTGGGAGAAATGATCCGGAAACTGTTTTTAGGGCCAGTGTGTACCTATCGCAGTCCTAATTCTGGAAGCAGGCAGGGGCAAGAGTGGAGAACTCCGGGTCCTGCCATCATGTATTCAGGAACCGGGTTGTTACTTGTGAGCCTTGTATGAGGGGCTTTGGTGGTTCTTGAGTTCTGAAGGCCGGGAGGAAGGAGGGACAGCCTGGAGCCTTAGACAGGTCCTGGGTGGCCATGCCCCCCACTGTGACCCGGGGCCAGCTCTAGGCCGGTGTGGAGAGCCAGAATGGCTCAGAAGTCAGGTCATAGTAACTGGTTGAGCCAATGGAGGTGTAAAAGGGAGGAGGAGAGGACAGAAAAGGAGATAAAGCAGCCTTGATGCCGGACCAGATGGGTGCCATTCACACAGTCAGGCGGGTCTCAACCTTCCAAGTCCCCTTCTCCTCCCACGTTCTCCGTCTCAGTGGGCAGCACCTGCCACCCACAGACCAAAATCCTGGAGTCTCCAGGTTCCTCTCTGACCCTGGCCTCCCACAGCTCAGCCACTCTCAAGTCCCGCCCGTTTCCCTCTTGGCCCAGAGCCACTCTCTGTCCCCACTGCCACTGTCCTGGTTCAGGGCTCGGCTTTCCTCCTGGCTCACTGCACAGTCTCCCGCCTGGCCTCCCGACTCCCCTCTCCCCGTCTGTCTGCCATTCACACTGCTGCCAGAGTTCTCTCTCCCCAGACTGATCTGGCCACATTCATCTTTGGCTTGCAGTCATTTGGCAATTTCTTGTTACAGTCCAGACCATCCCCTCAGCATGGCTGGCAGGACCTCAGGATCTGTCCAGCCTCTTGTGCTCTTCCCCACAAGCTTCAACTCAACCACCCGAACTGCCTGCAGGTCCCCATAGAGGACCGTGTCTCAGCAGCCTCTTTGTGCACCCCTCGTTCTGCCCAGAACCCTGGCTGGCTCCCTGCCCCGTCTCTGATTCCGCTCCAGAACCAACATCCCCGACTCCCTCCCAGGCCGGCCTAGGTGAAGCTCACCACTCCCCCCCTTTCATGGCTCTTTTCTTATTGTCCTGGAGTAACCTCACTCCCTCTGCCTCCCACATCTCGAGCCCAGAGCCTGTTCTGAACACAGTTTGGCCTCCACAGAGCTCAGCATCTTGTCAGACAGACCCTGGGCAGTCAGTAAATGTTTTGTGAATGAGTGAATGAATGAGAGAAGGAAATCGACCGATGAGGGAATGAAGGAGACAATTTGGCAGAGGAGACAAGATGGTTTGGGTTGAGTCTGACTTGGTGGGGCCTCCAGGTGGGGGTCCCAGCTACAGTGGAAAGGCGAGTCTGAAGCTTGGGGGAGGGTCTCTTAAGAAACTCAGCTCACAAACGAGCCAATTCCCCTCAGGAGGTCCAATGGCCAGCAAATGGCTCAGTGTTCCCAAACCTGCTTTATGGACTCAGGGAGCCTCCGAGCTTGGAGGACATCATAAAGACATTGTCTGGTCTGAGTCTTTTCTTGACAAGTGAGGGAACTAAGGCTCAGAGAGGGGAGAAGCCGGCTCTGCCGCTCTTTAGAGGCGGTGCTAGGACCCATGTGTCTTCACCATAGTCTCAGCTCTTTCTGCCATCCCCTGTGGCCTCCTGTTTGTGCTGCCCATCTCTGAGCCCCGAAGCAGGGCATTATCAGTGAGGGTGAGGAGGGAGCTGCAAGAACCTAACCACAGATACTCACACCCCAACCCTTCCTCTCCTACAACACAGCTTCTCACGGCCCCAGATGAGAACAGACCCAACAAATGTCACGCACTCAACAGACCAGAGGGACCCTGTGGCCTCCAACAGCAGCATGTGTTTTACCCTGTTTTTGGACATTGTCCCCAGCTAGTCTCCAGCCCTATAACAGATGAGAAATAACTGATTCGAATCCACAGGATCCTCACAGAAAAAGTAAGAAAATCGGTCCACGTCCACACTGACTCGGATGGTGGTCATCATAGGGTCAGGGCCAATAGCCATTCACACCGGAGCACGTGAAGACTCTCCCGCACACACACACCCCAACACGAGCCCTAACAGTGACATCCGAAGTATGTTCAGTGCATTGTTTATTTGTGATCTGCAAGCATTTAGACATTCCATAAGTATTTTCATCCACAGTGATTAAGATTATTACATTTCTGGCAGTATAAGAAGTGAGCCCCCTGCTCTCAAGGGGAGGAATTATCCTTGAGGGCTCTGGCTAACAAAAGATCTCCCTCATGACAAGGCAGGGAAGGGAACTGGCACGCGGCCTTGGCCACATTGTCTCATTTTCATGTTCTTGACCTCACACACAGCAGGCATTCAATCATATAGTTAAGCCCATGCGTGACTGAATGGATTGCGTGTTTTCAGACTCATTTTGGATGTTGCAAAAACGGGGCCCAAAGATTACAACTGCCTGTCCCTGATCACACAGTGGTGGCTGGGAACCTGAGCTCCTTCTTCCCACAATGGCCGTTCCCACAGCCCGCATTAACTTGACAGGGAGGAAAACGCGCACTTGCCTGTGAGCAAAGGGTGACTTTAACCGCTCAGCCACACCTCCGTCTGCCCCACAAGCACTAATCGAGAGCTCGTGGTGTTTGCAGCCCCGGACAGGGAGCCCTGCTTCCCGGCAGATAATGTTTAATGTCACTTATGCTTTCTTTGATTCACAGAAATGAATTCCGAGCATGGACGGACATCAAGCCTGTGAAACCAATAAAGGCCAAGCCCCAGTATAAGCCTCCAGATGACAAGATGGCTCATGAGACCAGCTACAGCGCCCAGTTCAAAGGGGAGGCCAATAAGCCAACGCCAGCCGACAATAAGGTGATTGATCGCAGAAGAATACGCAGCCTCTACAGTGAACCTTTCAAGGAACCCCCAAAGGTGAGACAGATCTTGTGGGGGAACCCCTGAGCACAACCTAGAACGGAGGGGCTCATTGCAGCAGAGCGTGAGGGCAGGGCTCCTGCAGACCCTGGCCCAGTCCCTAAGGGCTCCTGGAAAACCCCTCCTCTTCTCCGTAGCACACAGGCACTAAGGAACCTTTGCTAAATTCAAAGGGAATGTTCAAAGGAACAGTGCCTAAAGTAAAACAGCTTGAAGACTGGCAGGTTTCCAGAGAACCAGCTTCGGCTTTTGAGAAGCACCCCGCTCCAAAAAAGTGGCCGAAAAATCCCACCTGAGCCCTAAAGCCCTCCCTGTCTTAAAAATCCCTTCAGGGGCTTTTGCCCCCGAAGAGCTGGCCATTAGAGGTATCTCTCCTGGCTTCCTCCCCGCCCTGCCCCCGCCACATCCTCCGCTCCAGTCCCTGGACGCTTCCTCACTCCTCTTCATCCTTTTCCTCCGTAAACACTATCCAGCGCCAGTTCTTAGTCAAGGCACAGCTGTCACATCAGCTGCAAGATGTGTTCCGGGTAATTTGTTACTATAATAAACAGTTTGCAAGTGATTTACAATTCCAAGTAACTTGCAGTGGATTCAGGGGTTTCCGTGTAATAACACGACTTTGCCTTATTTGCATCCAGTGCACACCCCTGAGGGGGAGAGCCAAGTTGGAGACACAGCTGGAAGCAGGAATCCGATTTGCCAGAGCTGGTTCTGTGCTATCAAGCCACGTGGAATCGTGCAAATACCTGCTCCCCTATCTATAATAGCAGGACAAGTGTGAGATCCTTTCCTCTGCTTTTGTCTGAAAGTCTCGCACAGAAACAGAGTTTCCTATGTGGCCCAGGACTGATTTGTAGGTAAAGTAGCTGATCAACCCAGTCTGCCTGGACTCCTCCAGCTGTAGCAGTGAAAGTTCCACGTTCCATGAAGGCCCTCAGTCCCAGGCAAACCAGGATGGTTGGTTACATTCTGTGCAGGTTCCGTGGACCTCACTGAGGAAATGACCTAGCCTGTGAACCCCCACATCATCTCTGTCCATCATCCATAGACAACGTGGGGCCCAGGACATAGGGCTGGCTTTGCACCAAAGAAGACTCAAAGGGGAGGAAGGAGGGAAGATCGGGGCATAGGGAACCCAGAGGTGGAGGGCATATGGAGGGACCAGACAGAGCGGGCCCAGAGTTCTGGGGGTAAAAGAGGGCCAGGCCATCGCCCGGGAGTGGGGTCAGAGCTAGAGGAAGGGTTTCGGGTAGAGCGGATGGGCCGGAATGGCGGCTCTGGGGAGAATAGTCTGGGGAGCCAGCAGGAGAGGAAGAGTGCTGTGCTGAAGGCCTCGCTGAGGTGAGATGTGGTTTCTCCACATGAGCTGGCCTCCCTGGAGACAGAAGCAGAGGAGAGGCTGGCTTATGCCAGAATCTCTGCGTCTTCTATCAGCTAAGGTTCACTTCTTATTAATACCCGTCCACCACGGCTGGGCCACAGCCCTACTCCCCACCACCTCTGCAGTCTGGGCCTCTGGTGTTGGAGAGCCTCGCTCGTGGCAGAGAAGAGAGCATTGGGAAGCACGGGCTGCCCCTCCGGTTTCTGTTGGAGGTGACCCACATCACTTCTGCTCACATGTCATTGACGGAAGCAAATCATAGGCCTGCCTGAGTTGAACAGGGTGACGAGGTATAATCTTCCCTTAGGGAGGGGCGGCAGCAGATGTTGCAAAACAGTAACATCATCCACCACCAGTGTGGTTCAGTGGTGACAGCCACCATGCCGGAGAGCCACTGAGCGTGTGGCCAAAGCCACTGACCAGCCGGTTTACGCGGGAGAAGCCAAATGACTTACCGCCACTGAAAATACCTTCTGCCCTGCGCTCCCTCAATGCCCAGTATTGTCGTTAGAGTTACTGTTTGGCTAATCGTGTCTTCTCTCTAACTTCTCTCTCTCGCTCCCTCCCCTTTTGTGTTTCTGTATTTGCGGTCTGTCTGTCTGTCTCTCCGAGCAGGTGGAAAAACCTAGCGTTCAGAGTTCCAAACCAAAAAAGACCTCAGCAAGCCATAAGCCCCCGCGGAAGGCCAAAGACAAGCAGGTGGTGTCGGGCCGGGCTTCCAAGAAAAAGAGCACAGAGGGTGCCAGTGCCGCCCAGCCTGATGACAAGGAGCAAAGTAAAGAGATGAACAATAAACTGGCTGAGGCTAAAGAGTAAATTTCACTGCACTTTCCTTTTATCCTTCTTTCCTTTTTTTTTTTTTTTTTTTTTTTTTTTTTAACCAACCAACAAAAAAGGCCACAAAATTGATTAGAGGCTTCTCATCTGCCTTGGTCCCGAGTGTTCCGGGAGCTCTTTGGTTTGGTTTCTTTCAGTGGAGGGATGCCGTTTCAAAGACCTCGCGGCATGCCTCCTCTCCAAATCTACATGGGCCGGGCTGAGTGCAGCGCGGGTGTCCGCGCCGCGGGGGGCCCC